TTCTGATTTTTCTAGCCGGGTCACCCTTATTTGGTTAGCCGTGTCACGTGGCACGTGACTTAGCCGGATAACACTATAATGGAAAATATTATTCAGAAATCAGACTCTTTTCTTATTACAATCTGAAAATTGCACCTGGCCATAATGCCATAAATTGTCATATGTTATCGCAAAATGCCATAACCCGTCCCTGGTTTCGCGCAATTACGTTGCGCAGTTACCTTATGGTCGTTATTTCGTAGATTTACGGTAAGCAGGATCGGAAATGTAGGAATGGAGATCAATAACTATGGAAATTGTGTTCAAAAAACTAGTATTCATTAGGTTCCATTCAGAGCTTCATTGGCTTCATTTACAGCTCATTGAGCTCAATTGTCAGCCTTACGTATAGAGCTGTATACTGTACCCGATATTTTATAAACAAGCCAAGATTAATTAAAAAATACCTCCGGCATACTGTATACTATATAAAGGGGTATGCTGAAATGAATATTAAATCATGTAAGTTGAAGAGAGTATTAATCTGGTAAGTTCATCGTACAACTGAATCATTCGACTCGGAATCGTTAATTAATCCTAGAATACTGTTCAAAACTTTAGAATCTGCAATTTAATAGTGCCCCATACTATTTAAGGATGATGCTTTTTCAGGAGAATACTTTTTCAAAGGTATCCGTATGCAACGCTGTACATTAGTTAACGACTATATAAATTGTCGAAAAAATGAAAGAATCGACACTATTATAAGACTCTCCAAGTATACATAAAATCCGAAGATTAAATGTAGTATTTTATATGTAAGTAATTGATTTCGAAAACATTTCCTCAATTTATTTACCAAATGAAAGCTCATACAAAACAGCTTACATGATTTTCTATCATGTTGATATTTTAGATAACTGTATCCACTTGCATAATTTACTTTCCGCTGTTTGCGATATTGGTTGTCCTAATGTTTTATTGTTGTATTGTTCATTCTTTATTTATTACTTGAATCATTGATTGGTGCTAATGTGAATGGTGAATCTGTGCCTTATTGAAGTGAATTGATTATGAATCTGAATTATTGATCGTTAAAGCTTGATATTTTAAAAGAATTATATTAAAATTAGATAAATCGTATTTATATTAAATCAAAGGAACGCCCTATTTCCACCATTGAACATGATTTATCATAACAATATATTCGTCATGTTTATGCAAATTTCCATGGTGGAAATAGGCGTTCCCTAAATCAATGATTAAGTCATTGAAGTAACAAACTTATTCTCATATTAAATATTACTTATATTTTATTATGCTTGATCATACTTTTGATCAGTTACGAACGGGTTGTCACATAAGACCCGTTTAATAACTAAAAGGTCTGGTGCAGAGCCGGCTCATCTGCAGACTAATTGACATTCCTAGTCATAGTAACTGTTTCGTGTATATATAGCCAATGCGACTATAACTCTAACCTAAATCGCGCTATCTTTGTTGGTAAACGGTTTATACCATATCCGGATGATTGCCAAAATTTCTAAAAATAGTCATGAATCAGTTCTACAAATTGATATGAATTATAAAAACTTATTTGGATAGGTGCTATCGGCATATCTTCGTATTTTTTTTTTAAAAAAAAAAAGTATAAAAATGTAACAGTTTAACTGGTTATTAAAAAAAGGAATCGCGGACAAATTCTTCTAAACTTCGAACGTAGAATTGATTTATCATGAAAAAATTTCATTTAACTTTGATATTAAGATATCTTTTAGTTTTTAGCAAATATTTAGCAATTTCTTTATTTTCAATATATAACATTTAATGAGTTGACGTTAAGATTTCTCGGACACGTGTGAAAAATATCGACCATTTATTCTTCAATCTAATTTCCCGGGAGCGTATTGATGGACTTAGCGTGGTGTACTAGACCTATTTTGTCCGTATCTATTTTTAGAGTATACAATTAAACTTTATCTAGTTTGTCATATTTCTATTATTGGCTAACCGTCTTGATAAACTTTTAGTTTCGATAGGATCTTTAAATCAAAAATAATGATGGAAAGATGCTATATCTAACACACTGATTTGCTAAGGAAAAATTTAAATGCTGATTGTAGATACTATATAATACATAAAAATATTTTTTACCAAGCTTGATTGATAAAAATATGTCTGATCCAGAATCTGGAAGAAAAGTGAGACTTTACATTGTCGAGTTTGTTTTATTTAGCAATTTTATAAAAATTTTTATATCCTTAGACAAGTTCGGTTTTATTTACCCTAAAATTGGCTTTCAAGTCGATAGGTATTTACTTAAAATTCAATCCCTTATCGATTAATAATATATATATATATTTTTACTTTCTTACACGTAAAAATTTAGGTGTTGTATATGGAGATATTGGTACTTCTCCCTTAATTGGTTCGTAAGTTCTATCTCTCTTTGAGCAGTGCATCGAACCTTAGTTTATTGTTTGTCTTATGTAATTCATAGTGTTCGCTGCAATCTTCTCAAATCCACCTACGGACCCTCGTGATGTTTATGGTATGTTAATTTATTTTAATTTTGATCCAAATTCTTAATTGATTTGCTTTATATTATGTCGAGTCTAGGTGCTTTATCCCTGATAATTTGGTCAATGGTTTGTCTTTTAATTTTTAAATAATAATTTTTTTAAAAATTATCCTTGATTAATGTTGAAACTATTTTTTAGACGATCGTGGTGTTGATAAAGTATATTTTCATAGTACTCCGAGCAGATGATAATGGTGAAGGTGGTACTTTTGCTTTATATTCTTTATTAAGTCGGTAAGTCGTTGCATACATATGGACAGACCTTTCAAATGCATTGCGATAGAACTGTCGTGCTTGAAGTCGGAATCTGGTTAAAGTTACACTGACTGAAATGAGTCTCTCTTCAGTATGCAAGAGGCCTGACTAAATTAAAAGGGTCACGTGTAACAGAATATTTGCGCGATTTATTAATTTTCAATTTATTTTATTTTTCAGACATTCTGGCCTATCTGTACGCGGAAATTTGAATTCTGATGATGATCTGGTTATAAAGCAAGATAGTAATGATAGTATATCGGCTAGTGAATCCCAAAAACATCCAAACTTTATTAAACGTAGTATTGCTGTACAAACTATTTTATTCGGTGTGGTCATCTTTGGCTCTTCTTTGGTGATGAGTGATGGCCTTCTAACACCTGCCATATCTGTAATTTCCGCCGTTGAGGGTATAGCCGTTCCTATGCCAAGTTTAGCACCCGCTATTGTTCCTCTCAGCTGGTATTTGTTTATACACATATTAAGCTATTTTATTTGATAAACAATCTAAGTAAATAATTCTTTTTCAAATAAAAAGCTTTATTATCGTTGTATTGTTTCTATCGCAACGATTTGGCACAGACAAAGTTGGAAGTTTATATGCTCCTAGTATTTCCTTGTGGTTTATTGCCATCACTTCCATTGGCATTTGGAACATTTCACAATATCCTGAAATTTTTAAAGCTTACAATCCTTATCATGCTTTTGATTATTTTATTAGAAAAAAAGATACTGGGGTAAAATGTCTACATTTTTATTATTAAATGTTTTTATTATCAATTATCTTATCACAAAATTTTTTTTTTGTTTATTTTTAAAGTTTACTGATCTTGGTGGAATTTTTTTGGCCATCACTGGGTAAACTTAAAGTGCCTCTTTAAAGAATTGTAAATATATATATTCATAATGCAATATCTAATACATCTTTTTTTTATTTCCAAAAGCGTGGAAGCATTGTTTGCAGACTTAGGACATTTTAATAAAAAGGCCATTCAAATTTCTTTTCCATTTTGTGTATTTATTCCTTTGGTTTTAGTATATACAGGGCAAGCTGCGCGTTTGGTTTTAGATCCCACCATAGTTTCCAATACCTTTTGGTTAACTACACCATCTCATCCTGGTATTTATTGGATAGTATTTATCTTAGCCGTATCGGCTACTATCATTTCATCTCAAGCCATGATCACCGGCACTTTTTCTTTAATTTATCAATCAATGCAATTAGATTGCTTTCCTAAAGTCAAAGTAATAATGAATATTAATTAATACGAATATATAACTCTCATTATTATTATTTAAAATGACAATTTATTTTATTAAAAGGTTATTCACACATCAGAAAAAGTTGAAGGTCAAATTTATATTCCAGAGGTAGTTATAATAAATTCACTTATATCATTCATATTTCACTTATACTAAATTATTTAATATTTTAATTATTTATATTTATTAGGTCAATTACATCTTAATGGTATTAGTCGTGTTTGTTTGTATCGGCTTTAAACATTCCCAAAACATGTACTTTATTTATATTTCTCATTATTATGCTGCTTTTTTATTATTTATTGTGGTGGCTTATGCCGAGTTTGGCTTATGCTGAGACCTGGGTCCTAATTAAATCTATAATATACTACAATCCCAAAAATATACTCTTATTAATAAACTAATCCTAAACTCTAACCTAACTATGAAATCAAAGACTACAAAAAAGCCCCCAAAGTTTTATAATTTCTTAATAAAAATAGGTCAAATTCTTAGTATAAGACAATTTCAGCATAAGCTGCCACATTTATTCATTTTTCATTTATTCATTTTATGATGATTTATTTTAGGGTACCTGCTTACGGTGTGGCTGTCGCATCTGTGATGATTATTACAACAATTCTCTTAACAATCGTGATTCGTGTTGTTTGGCGTCTTCCTATTATTGTTTCAGTTATATTTTTTTGTATTTTTTTCATTGTTGATGCTTCTTTCTTGGGTGCAAACTTAAAAAAAATCGAATCTGGTGGTTGGTTTACACTGTGTATTGCTGCGTTTCTTACCATAATGATGTATATATGGAGATGGGGTACTGTTCGTGTGTTACATCATGAACGTTCACAATCACCTGATCTTAGTGAAATTTTTAAAGACAAAAATGTTTCCACTGATAATAATATGGAAATTTCATTTCCCGAGATTGCATTAGAAAACAATAATGCAACTATTTTGGGAAGTGGTAATGAGAATGATTCCATTGGTAAGGTTATAAACATTAATACTTTAATCCCTCAATGTTCTACAAACTGATAACATAGTACATCTTTTTTTATAGTTTCAAAAACCCATTTGACACGCTCGCCGGGTATTAGCTTATTCTATAGTGATATTGGCACAAATATTCCACTTTCTTTTATACAGTTTGTAAAACACTTTTCAATAATACCTCAAAATGTTATTTTTATCACTATTCGAACTGTGGGGGATCCAAAAGTCGGTGATAATGATCGCTTAAAAGTGAAAAAAATCAAAAACTACGAAGATTGTTATCAAGTAACTGCCAGATATGGTTATTCAGAGCAAATCTCTCAAAGAAGAGAATTTCTTTTACAATTAGTTGAATCAATTCGAAAGATTGATCCTAATAACAAAATTTTAGCAAAAGACTTTGACCCTGACAGCAGTCTCGTTACATATGTTGTAGGTCAACATTATCTTTGTTCTACACATAATTCACCATGGTGGATAAAAATTTTAATTAATGTATATACGTTTATATACTTTAATTCAAGAAAATTTTATAGTAATTGGGATATTCCTGTTGATAGTATTGTTGTTGTTGGTGTAAATATTCCGATTTAAATGGAGTTTTGTATGATTTTCAAACAAGTGATATATCAATTTTATTTCATAATTTAATAATTTTGAAACAATGATCGTTTTTTATTAAAATTTTTTTTACTAGCTTCGTAAAATGGCATTTCAATTTCAAAAGTTGAGCATAAAATAAGATTAGCAATAATTCTATTAATTTTTTAAAAATTTCTATTTTTTTTTTTTAATTATGAAAGTATAAAATTTTAAACTTCACAATTTAACTTCGGACAAAACATCTAAGTGGGTCATTGCATAACGTTATGAGTATTCAGATCAAACTTTGATAATTTTTTGGTCTGTATTCTTGAGTAGATATTCTACCCTTAACGCGAGTTTTTTTTGTTATATAATATTGTATAACAACTTACTACAATTCTCGTTCAAAGTTTTCAAAAATATATTTTTATCTTGATTATTAAATTGATTGAACTTCGATATTTCAATTTAAGAAATTGGCCGAATACTCATAACGTTACGCAGTAACCCAAATGTATTATTGCAAGTGAAATAAAATTTATATATAAGCGAATTTACAATATGCTCAAGATTAAACGAACTAATTCTTACAGTACAGATGAAGACATAATACTTATTCTACTTAATTAAACCTGTCATGAATGCTTTTATATAAATATTATATAGTAATTATATTATTAATGCATGTGATATCCTTTAAACTGTTTTCTAGGCAAATATTCCATGATTGATCTGTGATTAAGCTATCAAATTATATTGAATTGTAGTTTAAATCGTAGTAGATACGTAGTTAAATTGACAGTAGACTGGTCAATCAAAAATTCAAATTCATTGGTCAGACTGGTCTGATCAAACAGTCTGGTCAAATGAGTAATATATATTGTGAGCTGTGAAACGTGACCCCGGAAACACGTGGAAGGGGATGATCGATGTGGCACAGTAACAATTAACGCTACGTCGATCATATGCCTAATATGGTTTTCCTGGGCATAAAGGTCTTAAAAGTCGTTTGAAAATAGAGGGAATAAGAGTAATAAGGGTAATAGATGCAAACGATAATTAATGGGTTAAATAATAAATATGGGTTTTAAGTAATAAAAGGCAATGCAAAGAATTGTCATTTCAGAATTATTGATGTCATATAATATCACTTAAAAGCAGATAAAACAGTTATAATTTGGAACTTGTTAAAGGCAGCTTTTAAGAGTCTAACAAGGAGAAGTCAGATGTAATATAAATAGTTAAAGGAATTTATTTTATTTTTGGTTTGAAACTCAAGTTGGAAGTTCATTAAATGTTTTATTATTATTGGAATAGTTTATATATAAGGTGTGGGGTGTAGCGACCTTATGAAGTGGTCAGGTTGTCAACCCCCCAAGTGGTAGGTTGGGTGTTCAAATCCCATCGATAGCAAAAATTTGGATAATCACCTATGTAATATTCATATTA